TCGCTCACCGCTTCAGATCCTTTCTCCGACTGATTGTCCGCCGGCTTCGTTGTTGCGCAATGACAAGTAGAGAAAATTACGGTTCGATTTCTTATTTTACCATAGATTTAAGAATGCAATGAAGTTTTGTTTTCTTGGGAATCAGATAAGCTCGTACCATTGTCGTCTCTGTCTTGTGCTCGTCAAAAAGCTTTGGTTAACCAGAATTTAAATATCAATGGATGGATGCTTGGAAAACATATAGTAAAACATATATCTTTGATCTGTTAAATTGATTGAACATATATCTTTGTTCTGTCATGTTCTTGTGTTCATTGTCCTGCTCATTGTTTTGCAGGTCAAGAATAGCAAAAGCAGGGTACCTTTTGTTCATCCTCTTCTTTCTTTTGTGTCTAATTGGTTTTAAGTTGTAATCTTTTGATTGTCTTTGAAAAGGTCGAAATTGGATCTCTGAAACATCACTTTCTCTGTGCTTCAAATGCTGATTTTGTTTGGTTCTCTTGTTTAGTTGTGTATGAAAAGTTTGGAACTTTTGGTTGGCTCTTGTTTAATAAAATGTTGAGACTTTTTTACTGATTTGTCTTTTTAAGGAAGTGTATGTTCTTGTTCTGCTCTCAGAAACATCTATAGTTGTTGATTCTCTACTGAATCTGTATAGACATCTCCAAGAATCCAAGGTTCACTACATGGAGAAGTCTGGATGGAATTAGTTTGTGAGCGACAATGCCTTGGGTTTATTTGCTTCCGTCTCTATTGTTTGTATTTGTATGTATCATGAGAATGGAAGAATCAAGGACTGAAGTGAAACAACTACCATTAAACCATTATAACTAAGTGTTCCTTAACAAGTTGCTTATCTCATTTTTAAGAGTTCAAAATTCACTAAGGGACCTTAAGTGAGTCTTACCAATAAACATGCTCTTATGGAGCTTTCGAGCATTTAGTATATGATGGTTATGTGAATCGGTCAGCTTCACATGTGTCGCAACTCTGATTCAAACTATTCTAAATTTAGCTGGGCTCGGCCCATGTTCTATACAAAGACCCATCCTCTGTCTTAATTCTCAAGTAATTAATTAGTGGGTTATGTCTTTCGTAAATTGAGTTGAACTCACAATGCCCACAATAATCGAACAACAAACTTAGAATTTTTGTTTTGCAAATCGAAGATATTGATTTGGAAACGTAAATAAAACTCAGTTTATGACAAATCGTGTGTGTATTTTTAATCATTTAAAGCATGACAACTACGTCTGAATTGCATTGAAAATATCATTTTTTTTTTAACTTTAGAATGATATTGCCAATCTTAAACGGCTAAAAACGACCACAGTCCAGTTTATACTCTTTCCTGTATAATTAACAAACAATACTATTTGACAAAAAAACAATTTTGTTGTGTATTTATTTGTCAACAAGAATTTGTTGTATAGATAAAATATGCACGTATCACCCGTAACGCATGTTTTCTATAAAGCTCCAAATAAATTAGTGATCCAAACAACTCGTCACATACGTTTGGAATTCGAAAAATTAGAATTTATCATTAGAAATTAATCAATTATCTTAACTTAATTTTTATCTTATTTTGTTACAATAGTGTGTCAATAAGACCTTTTTTCTGTCAATTATGCAAAAACAAAATTAAAACCCGAGTTAAATTGTGGAAATCACTTGTGCTCTGAGTTTTGAAGAGGTGGCGGCTCTCTTCACAACCATTCAAAATTTCATTCCCATTTAGCTTCATCTTCTTCAGTTCGTGCCTTCATCCATGGCGTCAAGAATTGCTGATTCTCTCTTCACCTTCACGGTAATAAAGGCTTCACCTTGAGCACTCTTCTCTCTTGCCCATCACTACAACTTGAGTTTCCCATCATCAATTTTGTTTCTTTGCTATTGGATTCTCAGGGCCCACAACACTCTCTTCCTAGGGTTTCTAAGGTTACTTCTGCTCGTGTTTCTCCTGGTACTAATCTAAAACCTCTCTTTTTGCTCTGTAAAGTTTTTGTCTTTCTTGTATGAATTGCAGAGGGCCAATGTAATAGACTGTTGTGTTGGTGGATGCGTGCAGGTGTGTATGCTGTTAGACCGATTGATCTTCTGTTAAAAGGAACTAGAAGAACATTCGTTGTTCCTGCAAAGACAAGAACTGGATGTGTAAAAGCGGTTGCTGTTCCTGTGGCAACGCCATCCGCTGATAGTGGAGAAGAGAGGGAACAGTTAGCAGACAGCTATGGATTCAAACAGATTGGAGAAGATCTTCCTGATAATGTCACTTTGAAAGATATCATGGATACTCTTCCCAAAGAGGTATGTAGCTTGGTCAGTAAGCGTTGTGCGTGATTGATACTGAACTTTTTCTTCTTCAGGTGTTTGAGATTGATGATGTGAAAGCTTGGAAGTCTGTGTTGATATCTGTGACTTCCTACACTTTGGGGCTCTTCATGATTGCGAAAGCTCCTTGGTATCTGCTTCCCTTGGCTTGGGCATGGACTGGAACTGCAGTTACGGGGGTAAAGCTCTCATCCACTGTCTCTTCATTGTTACTTACTGTTGTCTAAGTGCATTGTTCTTTCTTCTAGTTCTTTGTGATAGGTCATGACTGTGCTCATAAATCATTTTCAAAGAACAAACTGGTAGAAGACATTGTTGGTACTCTAGCCTTCCTACCTCTTGTATACCCGTATGAGCCATGGAGGTTTAAGCACGACCGTCATCACGCCAAAACTAATATGTAACTCTTTCTTACTTACTTACCTAGACTATCATTAAAGGTATTCACAATAGTATAAGTGATGACTTTTTTTTTCTATAGGTTAGTTCATGACACAGCTTGGCAACCAGTTCCGCCAGAGGAGTTTGATTCATCTCCTGTTCTGCGGAAGGCAATCATTTTTGGATATGGCCCTATTCGTCCTTGGTTGTCCATAGCTCACTGGTATATTTACATTCACTTTTACTCTTTACACATTGATGACCAGTTCTTTTCTCTGTATGCCCTTTTACTTAACCATAGTAAGTGTTCTAACAGGGTGAATTGGCACTTCAACCTAAGAAAGTTCAGACCAAGTGAAGTGAATAGGGTGAAGATAAGTCTAGCTTGTGTTTTCGCCTTCATGGCTGTTGGGTGGCCATTGATCATATCCAAAGTTGGTATATTAGGATGGGTAAAGTTCTGGTTGATGCCGTGGTTGGGCTATCACTTTTGGGTAAATGCTTCTCTATACTCTCTCTTTTCATTCGATGAAGCATCATCATAAGTCACAATGGTTATTGTTTCTCTATAGATGAGCACGTTCACGATGGTTCATCATACGGCTCCACACATCCCTTTCAAGCCTGCTGATGAATGGAACGCTGCTCAGGCCCAGCTTAATGGAACTGTTCATTGTGATTACCCGAGTTGGTAATGCATCTTTACATTCTAAGCTGGTTGAGTTTTGGTATTCTCTGAGTTTGTAATGTTTCAACGTTGTGACAGGATTGAGATTCTCTGCCATGATATCAACGTACATATCCCGCACCACATTAGCCCAAGGATACCAAGCTACAATCTCCGTGCGGCTCATCAGTCTATACAAGAGAACTGGGGAAAGGTAATAGCCACTTGCTTCTCCCGTAAACCTTTATGAATCTATATGACACTTAAAAAGGTTTGAGGTGGTTTATTTTGTTGGCAGTATACAAACTTGGCAACATGGAACTGGCGCTTGATGAAGACGATAATGACTGTGTGCCATGTCTATGATAAAGAGGAGAACTACATTCCTTTTGACCGGTTAGCCCCTGAAGAATCTCAGCCAATAACATTCCTCAAGAAAGCAATGCCTGATTACGCAGCCTGATTCATGGCAGACTTTGTATTAGTCGTTTTTGAAATCACCAATGATCTTTCACTAGCTTGTAAGCATTTCAAGCGATAAGCTTCTCCAACGTTTTTATACACTGTATCTTATAACCTTATCAAAAAGAGAAAACTAGCTGTCCGTTTGCAATTCTATGATCACTTTCTTAGCTTAGCTTGAACAAGTCAGCCTAAAGTTTATATTCTCCTGAATATTGATATCTTTGCTATTCTCTAGCAAAGCTACAACATAAAATGCAATAACAGATTAAACGAAATAAAAAGTACAACTGTAAATTATCAGATGATCGTAATTACAGTGACGATTTAGCTATGCGCGTGTATTTCCCTCGGGATATCGATGGCACATGCTCGGTCTTGGAGCATGACTACTACGCCAGTTCTTGCCCGTCCGTCGAGAGAGTCGGAAGATCATACGACAGACGTACCAGCTCAAACCGAGCATTGCTCCTTCCCTAATCCGAGTCCTCTTTCATGATTGCTTTGTCGAGGTATCTTGCTAAATCGAACATTGTATTACAATATCTTTGAAGGAAATTGGAATAGATTTGCTGATGTTTTAGGTTAATTGTAGAATCGAACATTGTATTGTGATATCTCTGTGCCAGTGGAATTGGAATAGATTTGCTGATGTTTTAGGTTCATGGTAGAATCTTGGCTAGGAGTTTCCTGTGTCTTCAGTTTTGGGAAGTTTATCGGTGATATATCTGCTTAGTCAATGACGTTTAGTGTTGCATTTAGTGAAGATTTATGTTTCCTTGAAGTACAAAACAATACCTTTGATGTATTTGTCACAGCTAATTGATTTCATACTTTTTCTTTCTCAGTCATCTTTAGATTTCAGTGTAGATTTCATGCTGTTTTATACTCCTTCTGAGTTGTATGTTTAAAGTTGCGTTTTTTGTGTGTAGATTTATGTTTCCTCGAAGCATAAAGCAATACCTTGATGTATCCACTATCAATAGATATTCAGGCCGTTGCTTTTTGAGTTGTATGTTTAATGTTGTATATCTTGAAGATTTAGTGTTGCATTTTTCGAAGATTTCATGCTATTTGATACTCTTAATGTTTTGGTTTGCTCATATATTGCGATTTTGTAAACATGGATGTGATGCCTCCATTCTTCTAGACTCGGATGAGTGTGACTTCTGAGAAAGAAGCTGGGTCCAACATTTCCTTAAAAGGCCTAGAGATCATAGACATGATAAAGTCCGAGCTAGAGAATCTCTGCCCAGGAGTTGTTTCCTGCGCTGATATAGTTGTCTTGAGCGCTAGGGAATATGTGAAATTGGTAAAAACTCATTTTCCCATCTCTCTTGTGGTTTGATATGCATTTAGTTTTACTCACGTGTATTTGCAACTTTCAGGTAGTTGTTCCTCGTTATACACTGAAAACTGTACAGAAAGATAGTATGCTTGCGTTCAAGGAAAGAGCCGAACGAGAGCTTCCATCTCCACACGCAAGTCTCTCGGAAATCCTCTCAAGTTTCTATTCCAAAGGCTTCAACGAGCGCGAAGTCGTCAGTTTATCTGGTATTCTTCTCTTTGTTTTTGTGTCAAAGATATGTCTCACTCATGTGCTAAGCTACTCATAAATGTTTTTGAGAAGTTTTTAAAATTTCTGCACAAATTCAGTTCGGTCTTTTTGGATTCGGTTCAAGTATAATAACATATTCTAAATCTGGTTAAGTTAGTTTAACTTAAGTTGAATTTTTTTGTGGGGCGTTCAATTCAAATATAATAACACCTAGAAAAAAAATTAATATTTGACAAATTACAAACTGATATCAGGATTAGGTACTCAAGAAAAAAAAACAATGGAGAACAAATCTGTGATGTTTTCTGATCAGCAACTCACTGGTAGAGAAAAGACTATGAGATGGGTGAGAGCACATACACTTTTGATCCCTTGTTATTCCGCCAAGATTTTTCATCAGCTATGATCAAGCTTTCTAGTTATTGTGTATTGACCGGTTCCACATGTTTCCAAACCTAGAATGAAACAAAAATTCATAGTACATGCAACTGATAATGTTGGGATCTATGGTGATAGATGCAAATGGTATAATGGGCATAAAATGGTGAAAAACAATCATAATCCAAAGTCTAAACTAAACGCATTACCCATTTCTTTTAAAACACTTTTCTATATATTTTATGGCTTGATGTAACATGTTTCCAAACATTTATGAACTACTACCAATGTACATCTATTGGTTGTCTTGTTTGTAAATATATTGAGACAGCAGTATAAAACGCAAGAGCTGTCATAATTACTTACAAAGGAGTACACAACCACAACATGCTAGTGCCAAAGAAATGCCATGGTGCTCCTAGCTTACTCGTGGCTGTAGCCGCTCCAACATTAATGAGAACCAGGTCAGAGGATCAGGTGAACATTTTCACTGAGAAGCAGAGCAATGGATGTTGGTGGTGGAAAGAAAGTGATGGAATCGGTTATGACTTTGTTAGGCATTGGATTCGAAAGACAACAATGCTAACTATATGCATCTATAAGTTAGAGTTGATCAACTCAGTTTTCGTCTCTTTGCTATATAATATTCTATCCGGTTCTTTTAATACAATGTTTTAAATGATATGTTTGTATGATGTTTTGAAGTTTTTTTATGTAAGATTCTTAAAGTAATTGATTTAAATATTAAAAATTAATGTGTAGTTTTTATTTTGTTTTATTTATTTGGAATAAGAATGTTTAATTATCTCTGTTTTTTGTTGTTGTAATCGAGTGTTTTTAGTAAAAGTAATTTTTTTTTCTTAATCTATGTGTTTATGCTAAAACATCACACAACAATAAACAAAGAGAATAAAACAAAACGATATAAGGATAACTATTATTTTTCTTCTTCTGAACTATAAATAGATTGGTTAAAGATCCTAAAATGTCCAACCTACAGTTATGATTACAAAGAGCTACGTTGGCTAAAAGCATCAACTGAGAAATTCATATTCCTAATAGCATCTCTAATCTATTATTATTGTTACTTCTATAATAATTTTTAGAAACAAATTCATTTAATTCCTTACTCTTTTTTAAAAAAAAAGATAGAAATTACCATTTTTACATTATGTTTAGGGGGATAAATAGCAATCTTTTATTTAAACTCTATTTTTTGAGGATTGTTATTATGGAACTATACATTAGAGTGAATTTATCTACATTATAGAGTTTGTTTATTTTATTTTAGAGGTGAAAATAACAAAAATACAGATGATGGTGTAAGATGTAATAATATGCATATGATACCCTCTGGCTGGAATAGAGAGTCTTCATAAACTTAAAAGTTGACAAAACAACGACAACAAAACCCCTCTCTCTATACTCCCCCTACTGTAAACCCTAAGCCTAGGTGGTCTCCGATGGCGAGCCTTCGATGCATTCGCGAGCTGAGCCGTCGCGCCACGATGGCTCTCTCCATCAACCAAACACGCTCGATCTCTTCTCTTCGAGGATTAGAGCTTTCCGGTATAACAAGCATTACTCATGCCGCCCCAATCAAGAATCGATCTCTCACTAGAGACTTCCCTTGGTACAGTCGCTCCCAGAGTCGCCATTTCGCTTCGAAGAGAAACGATACTGATGAAGGCAGCGAAGGAGAAGATGAGGATGAGGATGAGGAGGAGGAGTACGAGGATGAGGCGGGGATGGAAGTAGAAAGGGAATATTCACCGGCGGAGAAAGTGGAGGCGGCGGCGGAGATAGGGTACAAGGTGATGGGTTCTCTCAAACCGAACGAGCGACTCTTCAAACCGTATGAGCCAGTGTTTGCCGTTGTTCAGGTTTAAATGTGTTCTCGACAAAACTCTTTTGTTTCATTTTACACACTCGCTTATGTTTGAATGTTTTGGTTCGCATAGATTGGTTCGCATCAGTTCAAAGTGAGCAACGGGGACTCCATTTTCACAGAGAAGTTGAAATTCTGTGACATCAATGATAAGGTATGTGCTAGCTTCATGAACATTGTTTTAACTGTTGATATTTTTTTTAATGATTTTATAAATGTTGTTAAAATCTTGTCTCTTTTGGTCAGTTGACACTGACTAAGGTCCTTCTATTGGGATCGGCAAGCCAGACGATTATTGGTAGGCCTATCTTGCCTGATGCCACTGTTCATGCTGTTGTGGAAGAGCATGTAAGTCGTCCCTTTGTCTTTGCTACGTGTATTATAATTAATACTAGTGAGGCTGTGCATAATAAGAAAAATTGACTATTGAGAATAACATGTTGTTGATAGTGTAAGTACTCAAGAAAATCTTACTTTCATGAAAATTTACTTGCTGAATCTGATGATGGCTGAGAGATAAACTTAATAAGCTACTGATAAGAGTCTGAAGGCCTTGAGGAATGATATATGGACGATGAGTTATTGTTTAGTGGCCACATCATCTATGAATGTGTTAATGTAGAATAGGCGTGGAGTAGAAGGATGTACTAATAGTTTGCTGCTATCCCCGTGCGTCTAACTAGTTTGAATACCTTTTTGTGTGAGTGACAGGCATTGGATGAAAAAGTGCTGATTTTCAAAAAGAAACGGAGAAAGAATTATAGGAGAACCACAGGACATCGACAGGTATCCCTTATTTGTTTCAGCTTTCTCAGCTACCTTTCTTCAAGCTCCTTTCATATGAAGTATGCATGTTGTTGTTTTTGATCTCATTTAACACGCTCTCATGTCTAGGAATTAACAAAGCTGAGGATAACCGATATACAAGGAATAGAGAAACCAGAACCACAGATTGTCCTTAAGCCTTCCAAAGCAGCTGTTACAGAGCCACCAGAGCCTGGGCTAGTTGTTTAGACAGAAGTTTTCTGAAGATTAATCTTAGAACTTGTGGCTCAGAGGACGAAAAGGCCTTCTTGTTATTTACTAGGCTCCTAAGGTAACGTGATTGCCTTTAGGACTAGTTATCTCGTTCATCTCCACTGTTTGATTTTGCTCTTCATTTGTACTGGAACTCTTTCAAGCTTCTGGATTTTGTTTTTTTTTTTGTTTCAAAATTCATAAATAAAAACATGGCGAAATAGTACACTATGCTTTTGTGGTGTAAAATCATTTACATATGTGTGAAATGAATTCTTAATCTACGCAAAAAAATATTCCAATATCGTTATCCAGATGATTTTCAAGTTACGAGTTAATCGCAGTAAAATATGATGCTAAAATTCCCAAACTAGACAGGCACATGAGTGTTACAAAAAAAAAAAAAAAAAAAAGGCAGGCACATGATAACGGACCCAAACCGGGTGGGCCGAGCCGGATAGTAAATAATGGGTTTAGTGTGTTAGTCAAGTTAGTAAATCAGCAGTCATCGGATAGATAACTAAACACACGGCGGATTCATCTCCGTGCGTTTCGCAAAATGGCCGTCACTTTAGTTACATCTGTTACTTCTTCTTCCGCTCGATTCCATTTCCGTTCATTCTCCTCTTCTTCTTCTCCTTCACCACTCTCCTCAACTTTCCTCCGATTCCAGTTACCGCCTCGATTTAGACTCGCTCTCTCCGTAACGCCTCTTTACCACTCTTCCAGAGCCAGGGCTCACACACTCGCACAAGCTACCCTCGGCCTCACCCAAGCCAACTCCGCCAATCATCCTAAGGTTATCATTAGAATCATCTCTGTAACATTCGATTCTAGTCACTGATTTATTTGGTTTAGTGATTTCGTTTGACTTTTTTCTTACGTGGCGTTGACCGGATTTTGAATTCGTCGTATTAGGTCACATTCGCGGCGAAGGATATCGACGTGACGGAATGGAAAGGCGACATACTAGCTGTTGGCGTGACGGAGAAAGACATGTCCAAAGACGTGAACTCCAAGTTCGAGAATCCTATTCTCAAGAAACTCGATGCTCATTTGGGTGGACTCTTAGCTGATGTCTCTTCTGAGGAAGATTTCTCCGGGAAACCAGGCCAATCGACAGTTCTTAGACTCCCGGGTCTCGGTTCTAAGCGGGTCGGGTTGATTGGTCTTGGGAAATCTGCTTCGTCTCCTTCGGCTTTTCAGAGTCTTGGCGAGGCTGTTGCTTCAGCTGCAAAGGCTTCTCAGGCTAGCAGTGTTGCTGTTGTTTTGGCTTCCTCAGAGTCTAATGAATCCAAGCTCACTTCTGCTTCAGCTATTGCTTCAGGCACAGTGCTTGGTTTGTTTGAAGACAGCAGGTTTAAGTCTGAGTCAAAGAAACCATCTCTCAAATCTGTGGATATCATTGGCTTTGGAACTGGACCTGAACTTGAGAAGAAGCTTAAGTATGCTGAAGATGTTTCTTATGGCGTTATTTTCGGAAGAGAACTTGTTAATTCTCCAGCCAACGTTCTCACCCCTGGTTAGTATGGATTGTTACTTGAGCATCTTAAGATGTGTATATTGAAGTTTATAACTTAACATTGGGACTTAACTGGTGCGACTTTGTAACTTACAGCTGTACTAGCTGAGGAGGCCTCAAATCTAGCATCCATGTACAGTGATGTCATGACTGCAAACATCTTGAATGAGGAGCAATGCAAAGAGTTGAAGATGGGTTCTTATCTCGCTGTTGCTGCTGCTTCAGCTAATCCACCTCGTTTCATCCACCTTGTCTACAAACCTTCCAGTGGACCTGTCAAGACCAAACTTGCCCTTGTTGGAAAAGGATTGACATTTGACAGGTAATCACTAGTGCAGTTTTCTTCTGTTTAACTACACGTTTGTTACATGCTTATTAGTTGTTGATCATATGCTTTTGTTCCACAGTGGTGGCTACAACATTAAGACCGGACCGGGTTCCTTAATTGAGCTCATGAAATTTGATATGGGAGGTTCAGCTGCTGTTCTTGGTGCTGCAAAGGCCATTGGTCAAATTAAGCCTCCCGGTGTTGAGGTAAAGTTTATCACACGAACTTGAACTTCTGAGTTAACAAGAATGTAGCTTAACAAATGCCTTTTTGCACAACCAGGTGCATTTCATTGTCGCAGCCTGTGAGAATATGATAAGTGGTACTGGAATGAGACCTGGAGATATCCTCACAGCCTCAAACGGAAAGACAATTGAGGTATCATAAACAATGTTTCCTATATGAGTTCTGCTTCAAAAGCTTCTAGTTCTCCATTGTTTTCTTTTATGCCAAACTAATCTTTTGGCGGTATCGTGCAGGTTAATAACACAGATGCTGAAGGGCGACTAACACTAGCAGATGCTCTGGTTTATGCTTGCAACCAGGGCGTAGATAAGGTATTGTTTGAAATATTTTGTCTGTTTATTGATACATAGAAGCTCAAGGAGGCTATTTCAAAAATTGTTTCTGTTAGTTTTTGCCTAAACTTTTGAATTATATATGCAGGTTGTTGACCTTGCAACGTTGACCGGGGCTTGTATTATTGCTCTTGGAAATTCCATGGCAGGTACATAAGTTTGTTTTGAAAGCAAACATAAAGCATTCACTCATGATGATTGGATGTTGATTTAATTTTTTTATTCGTTTTTTTTTTTGCAGGAATATATACGCCTAGTGATGAGCTTGCAAAAGAGGTAATTGCTGCATCAGAGAGAAGCGGAGAGAAGCTATGGAGAATGCCGATGGAAGAGAGTTACTGGGAGATGATGAAATCAGGAGTTGCAGATATGGTTAACACTGGAGGCCGTGCAGGTGGATCCATCACAGCGGCCCTCTTCTTGAAACAGGTGAGAATTGTAGAAACAAAGAGTACATTCTAATACTTGCACTTCAGTTCTCTAACGAAGAACCGGGTGTGGTGAATGGTCGCAGTTTGTGGACGAGAAGGTTGAGTGGATGCACATAGATATGGCTGGACCCGTGTGGAACGAGAAGAAGAAAGCTGCGACTGGGTTTGGAGTTGCGACACTTGTTGAGTGGGTTCAGAAAAATTCTTCTTCCTAAAGATGAAACCTCAGTCTTCAGAGACCATTCATAGTGCCCGAATGTTGATGGCCTATTCAGTTATTGTTATGGAGTCTTCTTGAACGCATGAGTTACGATAGATAGTAATATTACATCAGAACCAAACTTGGGATTTTTTGGAGCAGAAATTTTTAAGCTTCTTGTTCGTCTTAGACAAAACAAACAGTAATGTTCTTTTGAATAAGTTTTAGCTAGGCTCTGAGAATAAACAGAGCTCATTTTGCACAACAATACAATCAGCAATTTCAAAAGCTTTAAGCAAAAGACAGGAACAGGTGTTCTAGCTTTCCTCCTCTTGAGCAGGAGCAGGAACAGGAGGAGTAGGTTCAAGCATTCTTACAGATCGAGGAAGCATAAACTCAGCAAACACAGGGTAGTGAGACGAAGGGTATAACTCATCGACCTTATCATTTACCACCTCGCACATTACAGGAACTAGAGACCTACCTCTGTAGAGTATCCAATCCGTGTGTAGATCTTGTGTTTGTCTGTCCCAGCAGAGGCACAGCGCTCTGAATATTAGCTTCAGGAACTCGACCGTTCCCTGCTTGTCACCTACACAAAGGCCCCAATATGTTATGATAGGAACTCCAGAGATGAATGATTCTAATGGCTTTAGAGGTGAACATTGTTTCATTAGTACCTTTGAAATCATGATATGTTCTTATGAGGGCTACATTTTTTCGTACTCTCGCACTTGGCCATGCGTCTCTCATGTCCCCTATCACACCATGCTCTCTGCAATTTTAATGCATCACAAAGAGTTCGTGTAAGGAAAAAATCTTTGAGATCAGTGAAAAAACAAAAACAAAAATACTTGTGAAGGTGGTACCTGGATCTGCCCAACAGAAATCTTCCTGTTGTTGATTCCTTCTGTGTGTTGAAACCTCCACAGTACACAACGGGCAAGCTGGGAGGTAACGATGCCATGTGTTGCCATGTGAGCAAAGCACTTCGCCTACGGGCACGAGGACTGACTTCATCCAAGTTTGTGTTGACTATCTGAAACGAAAAGCCCGGCGGTTCCACACGTTTCAGTTGGAATGTGTAGGCAGCTTGTCAAAGAAAACACAAAACATCCTGATATGTGTTGGATAATACTAATCTAACAACAGACAACAGTTTTAACTCAAATCAATCCCACACAGTAATCAGGATATGGCCCATGTAGCTATACAAGGAACTTCAGAACCCCATGCCGTGCTTCCAGGGACCGATGGAGACTCTGACAACCAAAATGTTCCACCCTCCAGCAGCTCTACCTTCAATTAGCATACATAGAGTATAGCATTCGAAATTAATCATCAAGAAGGTGACACTGTTGTAGTTTTTTTTTTATTAAAGGTCTATTACTTTTTCCTTGTTGTAGAAGATGGTGCAGGATTGATCAGTGGGATCCTGAGAACCTTTTCTTGATATGCCAAATTGATCATAAGCTGCAAGCGAAGAAGAGTATTATAGTCCATCTCTTTTAAGTTCAAAGACACAATCCAATCTGAAGTATTGTCAAAGCTTGTGGAACTAGAAGCTAGCGCATTGATTTTTAGCTTAGGGGAACCAGTAACAAAAACCAGATACACAATGCCACCATCATCTCAGAGTGCAAATCGACCGTCAGATTTAAGCAACACTAACATATTTACTAAAAATAGAATCTAGATCTAGATCTCTAGAGATTCACATACTATAAAAAAAAAACAAAGATAGTATGTACCTGGCAAACCCTGCTGAATATAATCTAATTGCGACTTCACACCTACACATGAAGATCAAAAACCAATGAACAATATTACAGCATCCCTTCATAGTTCATACTCAGTAAGTCAAATATGAAGAAGGAAGAAAGATCTAACAAGCTATTGATTCATCCATGGAAAGAAAGAAAAGAGAGAACCTTGTTGGGTGCAGAGAATAATGGGGGAGTAACTGGTGATAACACTGAGACACAAATCTCTTCTCTTGTCCCATGAATTAGGGCTTTCTTCAGGTTGATCATCATGAAGATTGAATGTCATCACACTCAAAGAGACACTCATTGTTCTTGTCTCCTTCCTCTTCTCTCTCTCTCTGATTGTTTTGGCTTTGTAATAATAAATAAACGAATAAAAAAAAACAAAGGTCTCTCTTTTCACATCAGGCTCATCGTCGTGACCTACACTAATTATTTTCAATATTTAGTCAAACGCGGTGAATTTCAAGATGTGAGAAACAGCTCAGGAATCCTATAAAACTAACATTATTTAATATTTTACTTAATATTATATTACGAGAATTAGATACTTAACCTTAAACAGACTCTTATCAACCGTGAAGACTATGGAGATAATGGGTCTTTGCAAATTTGATGACTTTTACGGGAAAATCCTTGAAAGTCATGCCCTTTTGATCATACTAATATTGTTGGACCTATTATCCTGCAAAAATAATACTAATTATCAGATATCAAATCAGAAGACGAATAAATTGGACCAGAAAATGATGAAACAGAAGAGGGAGAAGAAGCAAAACAACTAACAGTCGGAGGAGAAGAACGGACCGGTGAACTCCTCGGCGATTTTTATTTTTGTTGGTCTCTCTCAAATTTTTTTTTCTTTTAAAAGAGTTTTGAAAAAAGACAAACATTTTAACTACTAACAGTAGTTGGTGCCTGGTGGTGAATGTGGTAAGAAGTCACACCAGACCGTACCAAACCGGAAGAGTTATATATTTTACAATCGAACCGAGATGTATATTAGAAGATGGAACGACGTCGTTTCGTGAGGAAAGAGAAGACGAAAAGATCCAAACGCGGCGCTTAAGCTCCGTCTCCTCCTCCCACCAAACTATCCGACAATAAAGAAGAGAAGGAACCCTAAATATCTCTCTCTCAAATCCCTAAAAAGGTCTGATCTTTCTCTTCTCTCTTGCTCTCTTACTCTCTCGCTCTCTCTTACTTACTTGCAGAGAAGAACCGAGAAAGGGGTTTTCCCCAGGTTTCTAAAAATCACCTCTTTCATCCTCGTGTCTTCCCCCTTTTCATGTCTTCTCAAGTAGCCGACTCTCATCCAGGGTTGTTGTTGCTGCCTCAAACCCTAGTTTCCGTCTCCTCTCTGTTGGATCTCTCTCTCTATCAGATTACGTGTATGTTCCGAATATGAGTGACAAGAAGGTAACTTTCCCACATCTTCCCTCTACTGACTCTTTAGTTTCTTAGCTATGTTTAGGGTTTACTTCTCTTTTGTCTAGAACGGTGCTAGGTGAATCTTGTTTTCTGTAGATGTTGTCGTTTATGAAGTGTTTGGTTTGGTCTGATTCCGACAAAAGCTATGAACTTTAAACGGACAGAACATAGTATCATTTAATGTTTTTTTCGCTTTTATAATCTGTAAATGATATTAAAGTTGTGATTTTTATGTAGCTTCCACTTTTTTTTTATGTTGGTTGCTACTTGGTTGTTGTATTGTAGTTACTCTCTAAGGCTTAATGTGTATTATCTTTAAGATTTTATTTAATTTCTAATTTTGTCTAGTTGATGCTGCAAAAGCTATTTAGGACTTTTAAGTCTCATCTAACTGACAATTTTTCTGTCTATGGTTTTGTTCGTGGCAGGTATTTGTGTTTGGATCTTTTACAGAACATGAAACAAGGTCTCTACTTGAGCAGAAACCCATTAAGGCTCCTCAGAATCAGAAAGAAAAGTCTGTAGGGAGTATACAATTCGGCTCCTTTAACTGTGTTCCCGAAAGTACTTCTGTTAACAACACTAATGGCGAGTTGAAGAAGGCTCAGGCTGCTGATGGAGTAGTTAAATCTCGACCTTCCAGCTCTCATAAGGAAGATAAAATTATTCAATCTGCTGTGTCTCAAAAGAGACTTGATGCTTCTAGACCTTCCAGCTCTGATAAGATCAAGGATAATGTTGCAAAGCTCTCTGGGAAACACTCTTCAGGAGTTCCGGAGCATGTGGTAGAAAACGGAACTATTAAAGAGGTCTCTCAAAGAAAACCTCTCAACAATGGTGTGGCGGCGAAGGCAGATCCTATTGGTTTGGAGAAGCTGTCTGTATCAGATGGTGAAAGTGATTCTTTGTATAAAGCTTCAAGCTCAAAGTTCCAAGCCCTGGACAGCGATATTTTGCTAAGTAGTTCTTCATCTGGCAGCGTACCAAGAAAGAACAACCAGATGGTTCATACTGAACCTACTCCGCCCCTTAAAGACTTCACACCAAGAGGATTAATAAACGCTGGAAACTTGTGCTTCCTCAATGCAACATTACAGGCTTTACTCTCCTGTTCTCCTTTTGTGCAGCTCCTCCAGGGAATACAACTCCAAGATATTCCAAAGGTTTCTAGCCTTTTCTCTCTATGCTCTTGATTATATTTTATATATTTGTTGTCCTGGTCGTGATTGTTCATTTTCTGCGTTCTCAGGCTGAGTCTCCAACTTTAACTGCATTTTCCGAGTTCATATCTGAATTAGATGTGCCAAGCAGTTCAAGCTTCAGAAACAATGTTGCTGTTGTTCAGTCTGGTAGACCTTTTACACCTGCCATGTTCGAAGCGGTCCTTAGAAAGTTTACCCCAGATGTACTCAACAACATGTCTGGTCGCCCAAGGTTTATGACTTTATTACAGAGTTTGAAATTTTGATGTTCCTATGCTTTAAATAGTTAGCCACTTAGTCTACTAATCCCTGATTCTAACACAATTGTCCTTATGTTGACAGGCAAGAGGATGCTCAGGAATTTTTGAGCTTTATAATGGACCAAATGCACGATGAGCTGCTGAAACTCAGGGAAGAGTCTCCTAAACTTACTGGTTCAAAGTCATCTGTTCTTTCTTCTGCCAGCGATGATGATGAATGGGAAACGGTTGGACCCAAAAACAAATCTGCTGTGACAAGAACACAAAGTTTTGTTCCTTCTGAACTCAGTGATATTTTCGGTGGGGAGCTAAGAAGCGTAGTGAAGGCACAAGGTACTTTCATTCTTTGTAGTCATTTTAATTTTTTTTCTTCTTATAAACATGTCAAAGAAAGTTTTTGGTTAATCAACCACTGAATATGTGATTTATGGAACAGGGAACAAAGATTCTGCTACGGTACAGCCATATCTCTTACTCCATCTTGATATTCACCCGGAAGCGGTGCGTGCAATAGAAGATGCATTGCATTTGTTTTCTGCCCCAGAAGATCTTGAAGGGTATCGAGCCTCTGTTACTGGGAAGGTAAACTATTGAATCTGTGGGGTATTAGGAGCATGGGATTTACTCATACTATAATAATCGTTTTAATAATTTGGTTATTTGCTTGTTTGAGCTCTCTCATTTCAGGCTGGTGTAGTGAGTGCTAGAAAGTCGATAAAGATACAGAAGCTCTCAAAGATAATGATACTGCACCTTAAGCGTTTTAGCTACGGAAACCAAGGGAGTACTAAGCTCCATAAACCTGTTCACTTTCCCCTTGAGCTCAACTTAGGCCGCAACCTTCTTGCTTCTTCTTCCAACGGGGTATAAACTTGAACAATATTCGTCTTTGCTTTACATGTCCTCCCTGTGTGATCTTCTTTAAACTATTACTTACTCAGATTTCTTCTTGTAGGGGTTAAAATATGAGCTTGTGGCAACGATTACCCACCATGGAAGGGACCCCTCGAAAGGCCACTACACCGCGGATGCTCGCAGAAAGAACAATCAATGGCTTAGGTTCGATGATGCATCTGTGACTGCCATAGGGACAAAACAGGTTTTGCACGACCAAGCCTATGTTCTGTTCTACAAACAAGTGTAAGAGAATCAAAAGCAATCTATTTCCATGGTCGGGGAAAGGAGAGGCAAAACATCTTTGTTGGCTTTAGTTTCTTGTATTTTGAGTTCTCATATAAAAACTTTGAAGCAGAGAATCTCAATAGGTAAATAGTTTTTAGAGTACCTACCTGGTTGAGCTGAAAGTTTTGTTTTGATTCCTTGAGATGGGAATGTTTTAATGTTATTCATACGTTTATTATTATTTCACAGACTTATTAAGATTCAGCTGTATTAGTCTATATGCTCTGGTAAATACTCTGGATCATGGTTCAGAGATTTGGTTAACCAATCCAGATCATGCTTTATTAATCCGGTTTATTCCAGTTAAACAACATTGAAGCTAAACACCATCGTCTTTCAAGACTAACAATGAATTACATTTATTTTGCTCAATAGATTAGAGATTGCAATAGTAGATTTAAGTGGCCACTAGTAAAGCTCCAAAACACTGGATTTCTGGTCCCAAATCTCATGGCACAACGAAGCCTGCCACATAAGGAACATTAACAGATTAGGATATGAAAAAAACAACTTAAAATAGTGGAGACCTTTCATTAAAGTATGAAGCTGCTTAACTGATAACAGACTTACTTCCACACTTGGTACCATGAGCGAGAGGCTTCCCACAAAAGGAAGTGACAAGAACAACTTTAGTCATGTCTATCATTTTTTGAACCGAGGGTGTGATACGGCCACATGCACAGGTGATGTCTGAACTCTTAATGACTCTGCAGCATGCTGCGGATGGATTTACCTTTGGGCCTGGACGCTGGACGTAGACAGCACATTCTTTCATCAGACCCTCGATGTCTCCTTGGCACGTTCCTTGCCCTGGAACTATCAGTTCTCCTGAGATTATAAGGATCATTGTTAGACCAACCAAGACACGAGAACCTGTAGCCATTTTTAGTTTTGAATCTAGTGAATATGGCTTTGAGGGAAGTTGTTTAGGCCATGGGGTTTATATATTGGCTTAGCTAGCTTCAGGGCTTTAGGGTTTGTGTTGCATGTGGGTTTATCTTTTTAAATGTTGAGACAGTAGGCTTTCTGTTTATTGGTGTCATGTGACAAAAGAACTGAAAATGTGTGAGATTCTGATGAGTTTCCTCGTAACTACAACTACATGGTCAGCCAATGCATGAACTCTTATGTCTGAGAAAACAAATAATTAAATGACAAAGGAGCATTAAAACCTAGAAATGAAAAGGAAAAGCTAACTTGAAATTAATGTGGCTCTAAGCTCAGTTACAAGCCAAAGTGAGTTTAGTAGCCACTGTCCAGAATGCAAACCAAATCACACAAAACATAGACTATATATATCGAGCATCAAGATTCAAGAATCTGATTTTCTGCTCATTAATTAGTGTCGTGTGTGGTTACGTAATTAAGAAGATTGAAGTTATAATGATAAAACTCCACAGACAAAGACGTTTTCTATTAATTCTGAGAACAATGACAACTCTACAAATCTCCTGGGGAGCAAAGCACAGAGGAGTCTCTCATCGACCGTTAGCCTATAAGTTGCAGCAAGATTAGCTTCAACAAGCCCTTGGGAATATCTGTCAACAACGTAATTTAAACTGTTTTTTTTTGAACGAAAATTTAATTTAATTTAATTTAAACTGTTGTTTTTATATAGTAATATAAGTGTGTTTGTAAATGCCCCAAACTTTTTTTGGGTTTGTTAAGAAAAAATTCCACCTAAATGGCCCCCATTTTATCTAACCCATAATAACAGTGCTACACGCAATGATAAATGTCGTTAAAACCAAACTGAACAAACTTGCTTACATAATCAAACCATGAATTGGAAGTATATCTGATATCTGTGTTAGGTTTGTTAGTTCACAAACAAATATTATTTGGGATCATATTTGGATATGTTTTTTTTTAATCTGATTTTAGTTTACTTTCCTCTAATTAAATCAAGTTAGATATGTTCCTAGCTGGTTGTGTCTTGATACATACAGCCTCCATAATTTGAAAATAAAATACAACCGAAAAGTATAATCTTATAATAATACAGAAGTATACATTGGTGTATATAAAACAACTAAAATGTTTTACTTACTTTTGCAGTGTGATATATTTTAAAGCTTTTGTTTTGTCCATTGGGGATTGGGGTACACATGATAAAATCGGAACGGTGTGACTGAAATTTATATCATCTTGATACTTTATCATACACGTTCATATTTTCTTTAATAAAAGGTAAAAGTATTATTATTAGTATTAGTATCTATAAACCTAATTAATATCTGTTGTCTATACTCAAACTAAACCTAAAAGCTTGAGCCGAACTGTATTGTCTAACCCTCCAACACAAACTCTGTATCACAACATTTGTATATATGTATTTTGCTTTGTTAATTAAACACTCAAAACTGTATTTATCAACAAATTATACCAAAATATTGATGTTTGCTTTTAAGTTTAGCAATTTACCACGTCACCTTACTCTACTCACCTTTATTCATACACTTCACAAAGATACTGAGTAATCTTTAACCCATCTAAATAATTACTCATCTATTGTTTATTGTTAATCCTCTTCGCAAGAAATTCATGGCGTCTAAGAATCGATTTAGTTGAAAAGCTGACCAACAAAGCAAACTAGAAGATATATTCACTCCACGACAACTTGGTGATATAATATACTTATAAATAGTTTGGATTCATATATAATTTTCAAAAATATTTGTAGTGATAGTATAATACGCTTTTAAGTATAGTTATTACAGTATAGTATATTCATATATATGTCGTTAATCAGCTAATAATTGGCCAATCCCATTAACCCATACCATGATTCTTTATCGGTTGTATTATTAAAAGCTCCTACTAATTCAATAGATATATTTCTAGAAAGTAGAAACATAAGAGAGTCATCTATTTCTAAACACACATGATTATCATGCAACGTAGCACAACATCACAAATAATAGACGCCGATTATCAGCCCCGTAGTACAGAATAAAATCTTGGGCATGGTACGTTCTGTTAAGTAAAAACTCGCAATCTTTCTCTCGCTTGCAATGTATCCGATTCAAATATATTGTCCAAGCTTATACACACTGTCTAGCTCTTTCGTTTTCCAAAAGCTATATTCTTCTTTTAATTTTAAACAATTCTTAATACCATACCAATTAGGTTTCATATTTTATGTCTCTAAAGGATTTTGATGCGCTTGTGTGTTGTTCACGTAGCATCCAAAATATGTCGACATTTTGTACATATTGTTTTATAATATCTCATTTATAAGTCAAATATATAAGGTTGTCAACTTGTCATTAGAGGAAGAAAGTAAAAATTATTATTTTAAATGTTTGCTCCCCTTGCTAACCATTTTAATTTGTGTTCTTGCTTTTCCTTTCTCATATAGTCATATGCTATGAGTGGAGTACACCCTTACGGTTTATTTGGGAAAATACGAAACGCACGATGTTGTAGCTATACATAAACTATAGTGTGGACGTTTTTCCCTTAATTCAAAAATCTGAAAAGTTGCATGAATATTCAGGTATTCACATAATTTAAACAACTACTCCTAGTATCGTATGCGCACCAAAAAATTGTGATTTTCTTTTTTGTTTCACTCATTTAATATCAGTTTGTTATGTCTATCCCACCATTAATCAGACTCAATCAACTTACTTCGTCATTCCATTGTTCCACACCACTCAATCTACCATCACCATAATCCATAGAATACAGGATGTAGTTAGTTAAATAATTTATTTAATCTTGCACATTTAACTATGTAACATCGGAGTAACATGCCAACGTCGATTTCTGGGCCAACTGTATTTTGGTTTTGGTAAGCGAACCATCCATTCAATTTAAATCTGTATATTAAAATGTTTTGACGCGTTCAGTTTAATAAACAATTTAATTTAAAAATAACTTCAGGTTTATACAATTAAAAGAATAGAGATGTACGTGGTGGTCTTGTCTTATGAATCTAATCCTCCTTAGAGAATCTATAACCAATTGAAAGTTTACTTACTCCTACAATCAACTACTGTGGTCAGTTTAATTGTTTCGATCAACATTATTAATCATGTTTGGAAATGTACAAATGACACGGAGTAGAGTGAAACTGATCAATGAAATGGTCGTTGTAATTGGTCTAATATTGTAAAGTAAAACAATATATCAAGAGAGATGATTATAAGAGTTTATAAGACACCAAACATATTCTATCTCAGCATTGATCTGAACGTGAGCTACAAAGTCTATCAACTTCGTAAACGACAATTCGTTTTAGCAGCAGTATATGATTAAAAACCAAAAACACGACAAGATATATAGAGTTAATCACATGTTACGTTGGTTTCGAGACATGTACAAAAAAAACCTTAGGGTAAAAAACAAGGTTTTAGGAATTAAAATAACTACGTCACTCCACTTGTGTAACTTTGAAAACACTAATTTGTTTAATGAAACCACAATTTCTGCATTTCTCACCGGCTCAACTGTTGTCCCTAACTTTATGATTTTATTTTGTTTCAAACGGACACGGCGGGTAAAATTAATCACCTGTAATCCCCCTCACACTAAGCAAAAGTAAGCATCGAACCACAGACTAACACGTGTCAAAGAGACCGGTCAAAGCCGCCACGTAGGTTTAATCTTCACGAAGGGTGCTCGGTTTTAAAAAATCCAAAAGAGCTTTCTTCTCCGTATAAGTAGGAGGAGACGAAGCATCCACGAACGTCCCTAGGCCCAAACATATTCAAAATATTCAAGAAAACAAAACAGAGCCAGAGAGAGAGAGAGAGAGAGACATAACTCGACGGTGGTCGGAAATCTCGCCGGAGCTCGATCTCTCCTCCCCCTTCATTATTGTTTTCCGGCGAGGTACAAGAGGGAGGGAGCAATCATGCAGAAACGGAGATCGGTGAGGGAATCTTTAAAGCCAACACCGTCAAGAAATGGAAACGTTTTGGATTCCGGGGAGGAGAAGAAGAGATCCGAGAAGAGATTGATGAAGTTCGAGGAGTTGCCAAGGTATCTTAAAGACAACGAGTACATACACAATCATTACCGATGTGAATGGTCTCTCAAGGAGACTTTCCTCAGCGCTTTCTCTTGGCACAATGAGACTCTCAACATCTGGACGTATGTTTTTAATCAACGTTTCTGAATTTCCGGTTTAGATTATTTGAAATTGAGATTTGGTTCCGGTTTGCTAATGGACAGGCACTTGGGTGGGTTTCTGATATTTGGGTGGATGATGGTTGTGAGTTCCATGGAAACCACGGAGGTTGGCCTCGCCGGGTTTGTCAACGTCTTCTCCGGGTAAGTATTTCTCGAGGTCAAAGTCGTCATTTTTAGCTCTGTTTTGTTTTATTAATAAAAAATTCAACTTTCTTGGTGGGTCCTAATGACAGAGTAACCATTCGCTGGCCGTGGCCGTCAATGGCTAAAGATGTTTACTTCTCCAGCGATCATCACGTAAGCATTCTTATAACCTTTATATTCTCTGTGACATTCTTTATACTCATATAAGAGTATACTTGAAAGTCATTGTGCTCATGTAAACATATGGTATGCTGATTGCAATTTGCAGTAGTTGGCAACTTTCACCCACCTTGTCATATTCATTGTGCTCACTAAATTTTTTGATCCTCTTTTAGATAATTAGCTTCGAATTTTAATAATTTTCTTTGTATATTTAGCTCAAACTAGCCTACTAACTCAAAGTTCATGATAACATCCTCAATTAAAAGATCTGTGCTTACTTTAAGCTATCCTTTTGTTTGTTTACATTGGTTAATGGCTATCTTCTGATTCTTAGGCTTGGTTTACGCCCCCACCTACTTTCAAATCACATGTAACCTGCACCCACTATTTGTTTCGGTTTTCTTGGATTTTTCTCTCTCACTTCTCTTTTGTGTAACTCTTTCTCTCTGCTCACCTACCTTTCCCAAATCACATGTTCTTAAAATAATTTAAAGTTTAAAAGTATATGTCTCTTGGCAGGATTCGAACGTGACACACACTAGCTCGTTCCTGAACTCACAAGGAGAAGTTAACTACGAAACAATTCCAAAATGGCCATGGCTAGTCTTCTTAACCGGAGCAATGACCTGCTTAATCTGCAGCTCCATGTCACACCTCTTGGCCTGCCACTCCAGAAAATTCAACCTCTTCTTCTGGCGCCTAGACTACGCAGGAATCTCCCTCATGATCGTCTGCTCCTTCTTCGCACCAATCTACTACGCATTCTCCTGCCACACTAACTGGCGTCTCTTCTACCTCTCCTCAATCTCAATCCTCGGCCTCCTCGCCATCTTTGCTCTCCTCTCTCCAGCACTCTCAGCTCCACGTTTCAGATCTTTTAGAGCAGCTCTTTTCCTAACGATGGGATTCTCAGGAGTCATACCTGCTTCTCACGTGCTTTACCTTCATAAAGATCATCCTAACGTGGTTATCGCTCTTGTCTACGAGCTGGCGATGGCTGTGTTGTATGCAACGGGAGCAGGGTTTTATGTGAGCCGTATACCTGAGAGGTGGAAGCCTGGTGCTTTTGATTTAGCGGGACATAGTCATCAGATATTCCATGTGTTTGTAGTGTTAGGAGCTCTTGCTCATAGTGTTGCCTCTCTTCTTATCATGGATTTTCGACGGGCTTCACCTTCTTGTGCCTTTTGAAGCAAGTAACAAAAAAACTGTAAAACGTTTAGTGATTCAGACGTATCACAATGTATGTGTTACATAGAAGATACGCATTGGCAATGTACTACACAACCCAAAATATTTAAAAGCATTGTTGTAAAAATGGGTTTAGCCGGCGCCTATTTAGGTGGCTCTTTTCAAAAAGAAAAAAAAATATTTAGGTGGCAAATTGGTCCTAGCTTAATTTTTTTAGAAACTTATTTATGTGATCGAAATCAATTTCAATCGTTTTAAATGGCTAATATTATTTCAGTGTCAAAAGAAAAAGAGAAAATGGGTTAAAATGATTCTCAATTCATCTAAATTGGTGCAAACCTACTGAATCCACGATTTTTTATATAACTAATTTTATAATTCATCAAAAAATCTATAATTAACCAAACAAAAATTTCAAATTCACTAAATATCCAAAACCACCTCCTTTCTCTTACTTTTTCTTTCATATCCCTTTCTAGTTTCTTTCTAGAAATATAATTAAATTTGTTTTTTCGTTAGTTGACAAATAAACCCTAAAAATAAATGTTTTAGAATAATTCGTAATTGTTAGTTTTTTATAATAACAACAAAAGAACGAGGACAATTATGTATATTGCATGTTGCCAAAGCTTTTGAAATGATTTATACGGTTTAAATAGTTTTAAATTATTTGAAATCGGCTAAGATTATTCTAAATTGGTGTAAAACTATTATTGAGTTTAGCTATAAATTTAGCATAAGTGTAAATCCAAAGCTTTTTGTATATAAAGTTTAATTTAACACAAGTATAAATACACAGAAATTTGTATAACTAATTTTTATATACATCAAAATAATTAAACTCAAAACTAAAATATTTAATATAAATGTAAAATATATAAATATAAATTAATAATTCATTAATGTTAAATAATTCATCTAATAGTTATCTTTTGTAATAGCAGCAAAAGAGCGAGGGCAGTTATGTAAATTGCACGTTGCCGAAGCTTTTAACTTTCCGACCAGAGTTCATTGTCTGGGTCCTGAAACCGGACTTCCCCTAAAACCCTAGAAACCTCTGTTTAGCCATTGAGATGCAGGACTCGTTCCAGGTCCACAGATTACCTCAATCCAAGTACGTAGACGGAGTTAGATGGCTTCCACAAGGTTCCGCTTTGAATCGTTTCTTCGCAGCAGCCTTCTACGACCCCGACAGTGACTCTTCCTCACTCGAGATCCAATCTCTCGACCCTAACAATAACAACCCTTTAGTGGAGCCGTTATCTTCATGGACTTCACCTTCTCGCGTTTCTTCACTTGAACTCGCTGGAAACAACGATGGCTCCTCCTTCAAACCTATGGTTTCGGCTGCCACGTGTTCCGGTTCTCTCCACGTGGTGGTGGCTGATCTTGTGGAAGGAGCGGAGATGGAGGAGGTTTACGCGGTGGAAGGAGAGGGGTTTCACGTGGGACGCGTGGAAGGTGTGGATTGGAGGGAGGGAGGAGAGTGTGTGACGGTTGGGGATGATGGGAGAGTGAATGTGGTGACGGTTGTGAATGGGGAAGGGTTGAGATACAGGAGGGTGTTTGATGGGAATGGGATTGTGGGGTATAGAGCTGTGAAGTGGGCTTCTCCTAGTGAGTTTGTTACTGGTGGTTATGGTTTTGGTTTGCAGTTGTGGGATCAGAGGAAGGGTGGTGAAGCTGTCTCGCAGCTTAAAGGGGACTGGTGAGCTTCTTTGTTCTCTTAATGGTTTTGAGTCTTTGGCTTGTTTGCTCTTTAATGGTATGGAACCTGAAAGTTTGTTAATTTGGGGTTTAGAACTTAGAAACAAACTGTTATGATTTCGTTTTGTGAGATGTTTAGCTAGTGAGGATGGGAAAGATGAATCCTTTGGTTTCATAGCTTACGTTACTGTGTTTGATTTGGTGATAACAATGCAGGTTTCAAGGAAAAACATCTGCAGTTGTCCACTCCATTGACATTCATCCATCCAGAAAGCACACTTGCATTGTAAGCTCTTATCTGTTTGAAGTTTGAACAATCTCGTCACTATACATTGATGACTATGAGACCCTCTAGTGTGATCCTCAATCCTTGCTAACGTAGCCTTTGATCATCTTCCTTGTTCTTCTTCTCGTTTACTTATATTCGGAAAAGGAATCTTATATTGAGGTGAAATTGAATCGTTTGCATTTGTTGTTAGAATATTAAGCCACCTTGTGACAAACTGATCTCCATTTGATACCTTATACTTAGTTTCTTCACTATTTTTTAGAACATTTATATAGTATTGCTCATATATAACAAAAGTTTCAGTGTAGCTGAGGGGTTTATTATGTATAAGTTGGCAGTGAGATTTTATCGGATGGCATATTGATAACTTTGTATTGATGTGATGAGTTTAGGCGGGAGGTTCTTCTGGCACTGTTTTTGCTTGGGATCTCCGTTGGCCAAAGCAACCCATCGTTCTTTCTGGAGTTGGAGCAAGTGAGAGTACAAACAATCCTCTCTCTGAAAGTGAGGTATGGGAAGTTCAATACGACTCATACACAAAATCCAACATCTCGTCCTCAAGGATTCTCCCTGTTATGACCTGCTCTGAAGATGGAATCCTTGGTGTCATCGAGCAAGGTACTTAGGAGGCCTTTCAACCACATTAGTTCCTCTTTCTTGTATGATTTTACCAAACTGATATTTCCTCTATTTTTTTGGTCATGGCTCAGGGGAAGAACCGATCGAGCTTCTGGCTGAACCTTGTGCCATCAACAGTTTTGACATCGACAGACAGAATCCACAGGTGAAACAAGCATCTAACCCTGTTTCAATCTCTACTAGTTTACTTCTGATCAACTGTGTGTTTTCTCAATCTGGTACATTGGACTCTGCAGGATGTGATATGCAGCTTAGAGTGGGAGTCAATTGCAATCTTCTCAAGGCCTTAGTGTACGGACCGGTGCAGGTGGTACAATAAGTTTTTGGTTTTCTTCTCTGAGCCACAACAAAGAAACTGAGATTGTGTTCGTTCATAGGTGGTTGGTGACAAGTTTGAATGTGTTTATATTTTGACTACAACAAGTTGTTAATTACAATTTGCACAAACATAAGTTTGTATTCTTCTTCAACCTAAGCTTGTGGTCTCAAAGATTTGCAGTTACTATTGAATCTTTCTTTCTCAATCGCTGTATCAGTGTGTGTATATATTTTCAGACACAAGTCTCTGTCTATAACACGTGGCGAAAAGAGGTCGGCCAGACGGCCACCGTTGGTCCCACTCGAACTGATACTTGGCCCTGTAAGGAGCCGTTGAATCTTGAAATTCTCTTTTTGTTTTCTTTTTAATTTTTTAAAAAATTTCTAGAATTTAACTCAAAGAAGATTTCAAACCACAATGACATGCCCCACGCAACGTTAAAGGCCACATTAAGCTTTAATCATTCAAAATAGTATTTCACTAAATACGGTCCAGCTCGTGTCTTAGAGATATTCCAGCATTTCATCATTATTTTATAACACAATTCACTGTTTTTGATACAGTCAGTGTTTCTCTGTGCCGAGAAAAAGTTGAAGCACTTTGTCTTGTTTATGATCTGATATGTTTCTGTAACCTTCCTACTTTTGATATTGATAAGGAACCATAATGATTTTTTTGTCTGGTGTGGTTTTTGTGACTTGTGACTTGTGAGTGCCTGTATTCCCTGTTTAGATAGTTTCCACTTTGGTTAGATAAAAAAGCTTCTCTGAAACTCACCACAAATATTCATCTCTTCTATTTGAAATTTTTCCTCTGTTCAAGAGATTAAACTAGTTATCACTCTCATAGGATCTGCACGTTTCACCAATCTAATTCCTCTTCTTCCGCAACTTTCTTGGTACTGTGAGATTCTTTCTTTCCTCATTTAGATTCTGCTGCTTCTTTTGGTGGAATGAAATTTATTCTTGTCTTGAACTTTGTATGGGATGAATGAAATTTATTACAGAACATTTATGTATAAATCTGTGTGTTTTATGTATGTGCTTTGCAGAGAGACATGCTTGAACGAAGCAGCAGCTTTAGAATACCTGGAGCTGAGATACTTGACCTAAGACTCGCTCTTTATGAGCACAAAGAAGTAATTGAGAGGCTCCAAGATGAGTTAAATGCAGAGAGGGAGGCATCTGCCACATCAGCGAGCGAGGCCTTGTCAATGATTCTTAGGCTGCAAGGAGAGAAAGCTGAGCTGTCCACTGAAGTTAAACAGTACAAGAGGATAGCCGAAGAAGAGATGTCTCACGCTGAGATGTGGTTTGCGCATTTGGAGGATTTTATTCACCAGAAAGAGCTTGTAATCACTGCGCTTGAGTACCAAGTGGAAGCTTATAGAAGCCAGCTTTTGAGCTTGGGGTATAGTGACTTGAATAGCTTAGATGCTAAGCTTCAAGAGAATGATAAGAAGATGAATCATCATCATGAGTCATTGAGTGATAGATCTCAAATACCCTTTCCAGAATTGGTTAATGATATTTCTATTCCTGTGGAGAAGGAAGTTATTAAGGAGAGTTTGGATTCAGAGAAGAGTTACTTTGATGTGTACTGGGACCATATCAAGAAGCTGGATGAGAAAGTGAAAGAGCTTAAAACTGAGGACGCTCTGAAGATGAAGGTTGCAAAGCCGACAAAGATGAAAAAGAAATCAACTAAACAGACAAGAGACAGAAGCGGCAAGAGAGACCGTGCAGAGTATCAAGCTGAACTGCAGCGGTTGAGACAGAGAGTAGAGCAGCTTGAGAGGGAAAAAACAAAGACAATGCCTGAAACTAGTGGAGTGATTAAGCAAGAAGAGATAAATTGTCTGAAGGAAATGAAGGAGGAGGTAAGTCCTGTGCAATCATCTGAAGTAAAGAGCTCTATTACAATGGAGAATTTACAACCATGGATCGATCCAACCATTGTTTCTGTTCAAGAGGTACATTCAATCAAATTTTTAATTTGTAAAATTTAGTCAGTATTTTTTTAGAACTAGCTAACATTTGACATGTTTACTGAAACAGGCAATGCTTAATTTCTGGCTTTGAGACAAAGAAGATTTCTATTATACTATTTTGTGTTTGTCATTGTGTTCTGTTTTTGTTTGCCTCATGCTGAGATCTGTAACTTTTTGTATAAAACCGGTCACAGCCGTTCTCTGTAGATTGACTTTGTGTATACGTAAACCAAAAACGTCATCTTGCATCTTTTGTGTATGTAACTATGTATTGAAGATAAATGCAACGGTATTGACAAGACAAGTTAGTCTCATTGAGTGATAGACAACGTGCACTGTATTTGTCGTCCACAAGTTATGAAGACCAGAACTAGAGGTTGATTTGAAATGCAAGTAACCAATAGAAACCATATTATATACAAATGACAACTATAATGTCTTGTAAATATTTCTCTTATCACACTTGTGAAGTATCAGGAATCAACTTTCAACAAAGCTACTCCACTCTTTGAAGAATGAGACTTATTCATTGACTATTAATCATCACTGATCAGATTGTACATGCATGCCTTAAAAGAAGCAGCGACTATAGACAAAAGCATTGAAATATAGAACCAGCTATGTGTATGGAAAACTCTGTTTTTTTTCTTCTATATACCCATTTGCTTCATCCACAACGACCATTTAATAGCCTCAAGAAACTCATCGTTCCTGCGCAAAGCTGTGACCAAATTGGTGTAAGTAACTTTATCAGGTGTTATCCCTGTCACCCTCATCTCTTTCACCAACCCAACAGCTTCTTCAACCATCCCACCTATACCATACGCCTTTATCAACGTGTTGTAGCTACACAAGTCAGGACCAAGTCCAGATTCTTTCAGCTCCCTCAGCACATCCGTGACTTCATCGATCCAGCCTTGCTCTCCATAGATATTGATCATGATGTTATATGTGTAATGATCAGTCTCACAAGTAGACTTCTTCATTCTCTTCAAGATGCTTCTGAATTTCTCCATCTGTTTGTCTTTCCCATATGCATCCAGCATAGAGTTATAAGCTTCAAGAGATACAGAAAACCCATCGAATTGCATATTCCTAATCGCTGTTGACATGTTTGTGAAGTCTCTGTTCTGTCCGTATGCTGCTATAATGGTGTTGTAAGATATCACATCCACAACTCCGTATCTTTTTGCCAACAAGAAAAGCTCATTGACCTTTTTGAAGCGCTTGGCTTTACCATAAACATCAAGGAGGACATTGAACGTGACTGTATTAGGAGTAAAACCACACCTGATCATCTCCTCAAAAGTTCTCGAGAGTTCATCAAGAGGAAGAGCACGTGCACAGCAGTTTATAACACAGTTATACATCTCCTGATCCCAATGGATCCCGCTTTTCCGGATCCTGTAGTATAACTCGTGGAGCTTATCCTGAAGACCACACTTCTGATATAACCGAAGCATATCTCGAAACATGAACACATCGGGAACAATGTCTTTCTGCTCATCCATGATCTCTAGAACAGAACAGGCCTCTTCCAAAGATCCTGCTTTCATGTACATCCGCACCACAATGCTGAATCCAATCCTGTCCAACACAACTCCTGAAGATTTCAACTTCGAATAAAGCTTCTCCCCTTCACCAAACTCGCCCATCACAGTGTAAATATCAATCATTGTAGATGTAATATGAAGATTAATCTCCACATTAGATTCCATAGTATGATTATATATTTTAACAGCATCATGAAGTCTACCAGATTCCTTGCAAGAGCAAATCAACAGATGATACAAGTGTGACTCAAAAGCTAAGTCTCTCCATTTCTTCTCTTGCAGCATCGCTAAGCACTCATCAACCATACCATGTTTGATATAAGCCATAACTAGAATGGAGAAAGAAGTCTGGTTTAAACGGATATGGTTATGAAAAGAACCTTTGAGAATGTAAGGCACTACATCAATCTTCCCAACCTTCTCATAAGCCTGCAGGATGATACCAAGGATCGAAGGATATTGGCATCCAACATTAACCATATCTTCAATAGTCTTGATAGCACCTTCGTTGTCTCCATACTTGGCCTGCAGATTAATCAACGTAAAGAGATTTGATGAATTGGGTTTATATCCCAACCTCTGCAGCTCTTGATAGTAACACTTTGCTTCCTCGTAGTTCCCAGCACGGCCCCAACCTTCAACCATTGACCTATAAGTTGTCTCATCTGGTTTCAACCCAAGATCACAAAACCGGTGGAACAAACTCTGCGCAGCCTCCATTTTAGAAACCTTACCATAACCAGTGATAAGAGTATTGTACGCAATGATGTTGGGAGCAAAACCTGATGCTTCCATAGAAACCAACACAGATTCAGCTTCCCCCATTTTCCCTTGCTGACAATAAGCATTGAGCATCACTAACCAATTCTCAAGGTTCAACTTCACTCTATCCTCTTTCATTAACTCTATAACTTCCTCTGCTTTACCATACAATCTCAAACGAGTGTAGATCGTTATCATCGCTGAGTAAGCAGATTCACACACAATCCCAAACTTCCTCATATGAGAGAATGCGAGCTCCGCTTCATCAACGTTCCAGTTCTTCTGATAAAGACCCATGAGCATACCTATTGTAGCCACATTAGGTCTAACACCTAACTCCAACATCAACTGAAACCACTTTGAACTTAATTTCACATTCCCTTTTTTAGAACAGACGTATATAACAGTGTTGAAGACTTGAAAGCTCTGTTGAAACCCCTGAGATCCACACAGCTCTTTGATGAGATCCTCAGCTCGGTCCCATTCTTGTCTCCTCGCTAAGACTCTGAGAATCAAACTGTAAGCTCCAACGTTACCTTCTAACTTTCGTTTACATCTCATCCAATCAAAGAACTTGAGGGCATTAGTGTCACTACAACTCTCAAGACGTTTTAGTATAGCGTTGTAATGGTCTAAACTCAAACCTGGCTTTAAAGCAGAGTAGTTAACATCGTTGTTCACAAACAAACCCTCATCAAGCTCAAGTTCGTTGCTTTTGGTTCTGAAACTGAACTTTGGAGCTACATCTTTCTTTATCCCTCTCTTGTCACCAGTCGTGACACTGTTTCCACTTTTCAGTTTTCTCCCACCACTTAGAGACTCATTATCGATGGAAGAATGAGAATTAGTGGCATTCTTAGCCTCGTTTGCTTCAGTATCGAGACGAGCGACTCTAGTTTTACTGACAATGATCGGAGAACTTATAATGAAAGTTCTAGTTGAGGAAAAATGAAACCTTTTTGAGTCGAAAGCGTCCAATGGAATTGATAATCTCAACGAACTCATCACCGTTTCCTACGAAAACATTCTCAAGTACAAAGTGTTTCAGTTTCTCTGGTGTTGAAAGATTCAATCTTTAAACGATTGAAGTGGAACGATCCTGTTTCATGAGAGGATAAAATGAGAGGATGGAACTTCTCTAAGATTTTAGTTAACCGGAGATCGAACCGGGTTAATCCGGTCGGACCAACTTCTCTTTTAAGACATCAGACAAATGACCTGAAGAGGACAAAAAAAAATCAACACAAGAATAGCAGACAAAAGCAAGAATCGATAAGGTAGTTAAGAATTAAGCACTGATGCAAGTAAGTTCAATTTCTATTTCGTACCCACTATTTTACTCTTTAACAAGTTCTTACATACTATTCAATTTCTAATAAACACAATGTGTTTTCTTGAATTATGTATAGATTGGAATTTGGATGGTATAATGCTCATAATATGGTCGAAACTTAAAAGAAGATGGAATTTTGGGGTTTAGACTTATTTTTAGATAAACTTTCTTTCATATCAGGATATTGTTTTCTTCGGTTTATTGGACCTTACTGTAAACAGAGCAAGAAAATGGATTTTCTCAACAGATTTGAGAAAGTTCTACGAAAATGGTAGCTTATTAATAATATAAGTGATACTCTTTAACAAGTTCATACCTACTTTTCCATTTCTCATAAACACAATGTGTTTTACTGAATCCATTGGAATTTGATTGGTTCATATGGTAGAACCTAACATTAAAATGTATCAAAGAAACAAACAGAAGAAGAGGAAGAACCAACGAAACCAAGTCATAAAAAGCTCTTATTTGTTCTCTCCATCTCTTCTCCATGCAATGACTATAACTTTTAGACTATTCATTATATCAGAACTCATCATGAGTCACTAACGAGTTCAGACATCTCGCTCCTGATGCTGTTCTTCGGTGTGGACAATAATGAAGTTCCTGATATAAAAGCCTTGAAGAGCACAAGTGCCTCCTTTGGTCTGTGCAAAGGAACTTCATGTCCTGCACCTCTCACAGTCACAAAGTTTAGACCAGCATACTCCTGAGTCCACCCTCCCACCTGTTTCAAATCATGACAAAAGGTTTCAAAACGTTGAGAAGACAACAATGATTCTCACTTTCTCTAGTTGAGTTTGTTAGTTGATACCTGTCCGTCTATGTACCAAGGGCCATATGGACTCGATGTAGTAAGGTTTAGAGCATCTATGCTGTACCGGGTGGATGTGACTGGTACAACAGCATCTGCATCTCCACTATTACCATGGAACAAAACTGTTTAAACCACCAAAACGCCACAAAAAAAAAAAAAAACTTGAAGACAAAAATGTAGAGAATGAGACCTGAAAACCCATATGCGAAGTCCAGCAGCTATAAGCTCGTGGTAAATGTCTAGAACCGTGGAAGGACAGTCTTTCCAGTTTTCATTCACCACATAACTGCAAAACCATTAACAAGTCTTAAGCTTTTTGTAGCCTCATTTCCTTCAAGAACAGAGTTCTAAGATATGGTAAGGTGAATTTTACTTGCAAGTATCCCATTTGGATGGTGCAACTTCTGGTGGGACGTGGAGAGCTTTTTGAACCTCTGGAAGATTGAAATACACTTTGGAGTGTTTCTCCGTGCAAGGATCATACTGTTCACTCACACGGCTATTCACCTAAGCAAAAACAAACGATGATGACATAGTCATTACTTCGAAACCTAAGCTATCTATCAACTCTAACAAAACTAGGACGGAGTTCAAGGTCACTTACCGGTCTTCTCTTTAGCAACATTCTTGCCTGTGAAGCACTTGCAACACAAGCCGGTGTGAAGACACTGTAAGGATCTATGTTGCCCATTTCTTTGTCCGCTGTCTCCAGAACGTTATTACACGCGTCCGAGGAGTGAATAAAGGGTTCGGGACCACACTGAAGTTTAAGTAAGGTGTATGTTTGGTCAGAGATGAAACCCAACGTCCACATATATTGGAAAAGACCGAGCCTGTCTTGGTGATCATCCATCAGACCGTTTCCTACCTGTAAACAAACATTCATCAAAAGGTCTTTCATAGAGTTTTATAAACCTCATAGATTAATAATCATATAGAGATTGATAATGAGGACAGGCTCACCATGTAACCTTTCAGATTAATAGTGTGTTCGCCAGAAGCTTGGTTATGTCTTACAATGGCTTGGCTCAGCTGAGGAATGTAATGCCCTATAACAAGCAAGATAAGATTTTAAAACAGAACACAGGATTATAAAGTAAGGTGAGCTTCGAAGTAGTTACCTGCATAGCTCTCACCAACTATATAAAACTCCCTTCCTTTGTACTCCGGATATCTCTCAACCCATTTCAGAAGAAATATCAGCGAGTCTTGTGCTGTGTAAATCAAAACGCCGCAACTATAAACCCCCACCCACAAACAGTAGTATCTAAAAAGACAATGAGATTAAGGCAGCTAAAACAATTACCAGTTCTCTTATCACCATTGGTAAGCAAATCAGATGAAGTGTTTGAGTACGAAAAACCAACTCCAACAGGTGCATCCAGGAACAAAATATTCGCAGCTGCACAAATAAAAGTTGCACAGAAGTTTTAAGCTTACTGGAAACACATAATCTGCACATCTCTCATTTCAATTGATTACCTTGGTTCCAAGAGTATTGATTAAGGTAAAGAGTCTTCCCATCAGGCTTAATGTGAAATGGTCCAATCTCTTCAGCTTCACCAAATCCAACAGATGAACATCCTGGTCCTGTCAACAGAGAGAAAGCAAACAAAACAAAACAAAACAAAAACTCCATGTCAGACAGATTGCTATGAAGATCCATTAATTATGTTTAAAGAATAAGAAATGAAAGCTTTTTCCAAACTAAAATAGTGTTTAAATCCTAGAAAAAATAATCCCAACTAGATTCCATAATTAGGAATCAAAACAACATAGTGCCACACATAGCTTCAAGAATACATGAACACAAAAGGGGAAATCACGTGTATAATGTTAAAAGCAACAATCAAACCAGAGCAATGAGTAATTGAATTCAAACCAAAGTAGCTACAAGACATATCTCCAAAAACAAAAAAAAATCAAGATCCATATCATATCTATTGATTAAGCAGAAAAGGAGAGAACTTTCGATTGCAAAAAGGAGAATTGGTCTGTAAGCAAACCTCCATTGAGCCAGAGAACAAGAGGCTTAGAGGCAGCATCTTCAGCAGCTTCAAATAACCAGTAGAAGAGCGCTCTTCCCAGTTTCTCATTCGTTGTAACAAATCCAGAGTAATGAGCAAAGTTAACATTGAAATTCTGACCAGGCAACTTCGAGACCTTAGCCTGTTCTTTCCCAGACAAGACAGCTTCACAGTTACATAGATGAGCAGTCGCTAGAACAGCGATTGCGAAGAGAGCGTTGACGAAACGAGACCCTCTGGTTTTAGCCATTGTGTTGTTTGTTTGGTTATGTTCTCACAGTACAACGGAGATGTTTTAAAGACAAGGTTTAGATAGATAGAAAGCAATGTGGGAGATGACGTCATAAAAGAATCCAAAAGAATCAGACTTTTTTTTTTTTATGTTTCACTCATCGAGAGTCATCGTGCGTGGTGTGGTCCTAAAACTGCAGATGTCTCAAAAGAGCGTTTTGTGTAGCTGTAATTACTTAAGTTGGATGATTAAGAAGACCTTTATCTAAATTCGTAATTAGAGTCTGTTTCGTTGTCATTGTCAAAACCGCTATTTTGGTTTAGTATTAATTAAAAAGAGAGTCATGAATTACAGACGCTGACGAAGAAAAACGTGGCCATGCGTCGACGGTGGAGATAAGTTGCGTATGAGGCAGAAACTGTACGCAAGTTGGTGGACACAGAAGCAAGTCCCAAATGGTCTTCACGTGTTTTCTTTCTGCCATTGGGCGGTTTCTAAGCTACGTCACGTTCCCAACGAAAACTATTTCTTTCTTAGAAAATAATTAAAACGAAGCATTCACTTTTATGTTTCTTTACGTTTGGTTAAATAGTTAAAAATAAGGTTTTATCAAACTATGTCAAGTGAATAGATCGTGTGTGTCATTCTCAACTTTTACTTATCTTTAAACATTCAAATAATTGACTCTATAATTGGAGCTTTTGAGGGTCTAGCACTATCGGAGCTTGTGGCTGCACGCTCTTTGTATACCAACAAAGCAAATGTTAAAAGAATCCAGCTTTTTTATGAACACCACCAAAAGATCAAGGTTTCAGACAAGGTATGATACAATCAAAATTGTACCTTCAGTGGGTCTTGAAACCAAGACCAATGTTCTTCCATAAGCGATTGCATCCTTTCTCAGGCCTCTTTCCCTTACCTGGTTTCTTTGAGCTGATAACAACGTTATGATCATAATCTAATCCGTGTAAGCAAAGACAGACCAATTAACCGTGAGACTTTTACCATATATGCATGGGCTTTACGCCGAGGCTGTAACCAATCTTGGTTTAGGCCTAAAGGAGAACTTCAGATAGATATTCTGGGCTTTATATATGAAAAAAATAGTTTTAAATTTACGAAATAATAATTTGCATTTTTATTGATTATTTTAGGTTTAGTGAAATACGAATTTACTAGGTGTTTTGTCCGCACTTGCGGGCTTAATAATTTTACTAATATCTATATATAAATATATAATCAATTTATGTAAATTATAATAAATTATAGTTCATAGACTCAAAATATTTAATAATAAACTAAACAAATTCTTTCTATATATAAAAAATTTCATCATCATATAAATAATTTTCATTACACAACTTATATTTGAAAATACTCATGAACTTAAAACATTTAGTAATAAATTAATATCATTTTTAGACATAACAAAAAAGTATAAAAAATTATCTTTAATAATGTTTTGGATAACACAATATAAATTATCTATACATAAATTCTTTGTGAATTTATTTTTCATAATTAACTATATATTAGCAAATAGAATTATTTTTCAACGTTAATAAAGATTTTATAACACAATATAAAAAAGTTAGATAAAGATAATTATCAAATTCATGAGATTCATTTTTTAATTTAGAATTAATTATATGTTA